AGGGGATGCTTCGTTTCTGTTCTCTAGTATGGAAGAAATATTTTCCCCCCTAGACAGTTCTAGCCTCTTGTTCCACTTGTTTTTCCTCTTTATGGACATAGGTAGTCACTCTGTTCATAGGTGCAGTCACTGGTTCAGCTTTCTGTATTGGATGGAGAAAATCAATCTCAAATCCCCAAGGCAGGGAATTTGGTTGACAATTATACTATGCCCTCTACCACACCCCCAGCCCTGACAACAAGGAGACAGAGACACCGAGTTTTCTTCTTTACATCCCAAACATTTCAAAGTTCTTGTTAAGTGTGTGTGTGTGTGTGTGTGTGTGTGTGTGTGTGTGTGTGTTGGGGTGTTCTGGTGATAAAAGTTGAATGAGTATTGAAAGGCCCAATGCTGATTGTACTTGTAAGCTGTCTCCTACTCCAGCCTTTATTGAAAATAAAACTAATGTGTAGTGATCCATTTTCATGTATTTGTTATCTAACCTAATGCTGTCTAATTAAAGAAGAATACAGATAATGTCATTTATCGGCTTGCATCAAACCCCATCTGGTCTTCTTAACGTTACGCACACAAATTCTGTTCTACAACTAAATCAAGTTACTTGCACTGTCCGGATATTCCAAACTCACATAAACTTCTTATTTTGTATAGATTGGCATCCTACTCCCCTTTTGTTGACTGGGAAATGACGATTTGTCTTATGGGACTTTAAACATATTTGCACTGGACAGATTTAGTGACCCAGTTTTTCTTGAAACAGGATGTCATACAATCCTGAACCCCGATTTCTATAGGTAAGGTTCTGTAAACTACTTCCAAAAGGCCAAATCCGACTCACTTTGTGTTTTTGTAAATAAAGTTTTATTGGAACATAACAGTGACCATTCATATATGCATTATGCCTGGCCACATTCACAGCACAACAGCAGAGTTAAATAGTTGTAACAGATATCATATGGTATACAAAGGCTATAATATTTACTATCTAGCCATTTATAGAAAATGTTTTCTAAAACCCAACTCAAGGCTATGATTGTCTGATATCAAATCCCAAGTATTCCCTTTATATAAAGTCATTCTTTTCTAGTTTATCACAAGCCCTAGTAAACAATTTTTATAATTTTTACACCTGACACCACTGAAACACACACACACACACACACACACACACACACACACACACACACGCACATACTCTTTCTGGGAAGTTTACCCATAAGAATAAATCTGTAGGAAGAAAGAAATTTGTCAATATAGTCAAGGGGTCATAAGGTGGTGACAGAAATAAAATAAGGGCAAAAAAAATTAAGGAAATAGGAGAATAAGGATAAACACTAAGCTTGGCTACCAGCATAATAAGATCTGGTATAGCAGTATGATGAGATTGAACTCAGCTGTTAATTCCAAGAGTAGATTCAAAATTGCATTTACAGAAATTACAGGAGAGGATTGGTAGCTTATAGGAACAATGGAAGACAATAGAATCTCACCATTTATTTGTTTATTCCTCATAAACATATTTCTGATGTTTAATGCTGCCTGCTAAAGATTTATGAGATATCTCAAGGGATTAGGCTTATTAGCTTCCAACAAAAATAAATAGGTCTAATACTTGTTGACATTCTTTCTCTTTGTTAAATCTCCTTTTATAACATTGTTGAAGAAGGATTATAAGTGGAGTGCATCCAGTTGTCTCAGGGAAAGGCAATTGCTAGCCTCTCTGAGGGAAGGAGCTCAATGAAGCTTTATATTTCCAATAAAGTTATCTGTATTTTTCCTGCCAGAAGAAACTCCAACACACAGGCAATATATCAGTGCTGCAAGTTTTCTTCAAGCACAGAAGTACAAGGGGGTGGATAAGCATTTTTTTGGACTAAATTCAACATTATGGTTCCTACAAACTTGACCATAAGTAAGAAACATAGAAAGCAGTTTATGCTGTGAAACTGAGAAAGAATTTGCTGAGCAATGGCTGTAGATACTGCTTATGCAACTGGCATCTGTTTGAAAAATTGGATGAAGATAAAAGCTACAGAAAATTGCAGAGTCTGAAGTTTATGATGGTGAGGAATCAAATGCACTGCTTATATCAGAGTCCCACTCCTAGGAGATTAAAAATATCTGGAAAAGCCTTACCTCCTTGAAATCACCAATGGCTGAGATGATAATAAAAATGTAAAGATACTCAAGTCGTGTTTTCTTACTTTTAGAAAGGGTGGTGTAGAGCATTTTAATATCAAAACAAATCTGATAATTTATGCCAGGTGGAGCAGTCTCCTAGAATACAATTTCAAGCATTTACCCACAGATTGTGAGCCCTAGAACAAATGATTTAATATCTCTAATCCTCAACATTTTTATCAAAAAAGGGAAAATAAGTCTAGGAAATAATGACTAATAAGTAGGTGACAGGTAATCTGTTTTAGTAAATATTTGTTTCCTTTTGAGTTGATTGATCAAATCACATACACACTCTACCAATGAGTAGTTACTGCTCTTTATAACAGGCTATAAGATTTTAAATGCACTGCACCATTGTATCGGGCCCTTGGATAACTTCTGGATATTTGAAGAGATAATTTTGTAGAATTTTCTGATTTAGAATATTATGTATATTGTCCTTGAATTTAATTAATAGGTAGACTAAATATATTAGTCCTTTTTGGTCACATTCATTTTATATTGGAAATTGAACACAATTTAATAAATTCAGGAGCTAATCACGAATTTAGTCCTTTGGAATTTTTTTTTCAACTTGGAAGCTTATATGCTTTTTTCTTTAAAACAAAGATTATAAAAATAATTCGTGTGATTTGAACTTACTAATTTCACTCAGGACGTAGAGAGTCCTGTTGACATTTTAATCATTTTTTTAAAATTTAATTTTAAGGTTTTCTAAAGTTAGTTTTGTGATCTGTTCAATTTCCCACCAATCTTCTGGACGAGGAGTTGAAGGCTGAGAGTTGAACATGGATTCACATTGAATAATGCTGTAGCTAAGAGTGCCACAGGTCTCCTCAACACTAGATAAATGATGCTTTCCATTCAAGCATCCTACCATTTCCTTTGCCTCTCTGCAAACGTTGGCGAATATTCTCCTTTATTATTTTTTATATTTATCATTATTTAAATACGCAGATGATTTTAAGGCAAAAGTAGTTTCTGTACTAGTTGTTCTGTTGGAAGCCTCCAAGTGGCCATCACCTTGCTCTTATGGGAATATATATATTCATGAATAATACATGTGTTTTTAAGTACAGTCATATATTATCCTGTGTGTATATTATCTCATGCAACTCTATTCCTTACAAGAAGTTGTATTTGTAGGATGGCAAAGTACCCTCAGGAACATTTATTTATATTCTAGAGAAGAATTTGACAGCTGCAAAATCCATTTAGAAGAGTTAATGGCAACATCCCACTAATATGTTTGTCACTTACAAACAAGTTTGGAATGTTGGTTCAAGTGTATCTCAACTTAAAGAATTTTGATAATTAGAAAATAGGTTACTTTAAAAAATTAGCAATTATAAGAAAGGGAAAACACCCACTGTAGTATGAATTTTAATCATTTATAACGCATAAATTCAGTTTCCTAACTCATTTACATAAAATTTTAGTTCAAGAAGAGAGTTCAGAGTATTTTTAGTTGTTTTTTTAAATCTATCTCATAGGAAAGGTAGAATATACAATATAATCTCCATGGAAAAGGAATTTACAATTCAAATAAACTGATTAATTTATCTAAAAGATGTTGTGTGTGTGTGTGTGTGTGTGTGTGTGTGTGTGTGTGTGTGTAGAGGAAATGTCGTAAATCAATCCAATCACTTCTCTAGGATTTAGTGTCCTTTCCCCTTTCTGATTCTTTCTTATCTCTTTGGCATTGGGGTACAGTGCAGAAAAGGTAAGAAATTATTTATCACACCATGGACATAGTCAATAGCATGAGCAGTGATTTCATTACCCCTTTTAAATGTAATTCAAAAAGAAATTTGTTGTCTAAGTTTAAATAAAGCATAAGTGATTCTACTGGAAGAATTTTGTGTCAAAACAGAGAAAAGATGTAATAGAGGAAGTTTGGATGTTAATCCTCTGACTACAGAGACATTTTCAATGAAAAGAAGAATTAAATCAAAGCAGAGTTAGGATTGTTTTTCAGTTGAAACTTGTGAGAAAACTTAAGATGTGACAAGTTGCTTGCATGGAAGCAGGAAATCCAAATGTTGCTTAGGGAGTGGAAAACCGTACTGATGAAATGGCTCTTTAGCAGAACTGACAGGTCTGAAAAGTGTTACTGCAGGAACGACAAATTGTTTGTAACTCGACACAGGAAACTGGGAACCAGAGTAGCATTTTGGCAAAAAAGCACCCAGAAGATTAGTCACCCTTAGAAGAGCACCGTTTCAAGTAGGCAATGTGAGAAGCACACGTGGTCTCTAAATCAGACAGATCCAGGTTTTTCTCATAGTTTTGATGGAAGAAAGATGGTCTGTACAGGGGCTGATGGATATCTTTGATAATAAGACAGGCCAAAAAAAGAATATTCTTTTTTTTTTGGTAACTTTATGTATACATATTTAATTAGAATAGACATAAACCTAAAAGAAGCAAAAAATCAGGATAAAGTGTCACTATCATTTTGCTTGTAAGAAGTCAGGAAATGGAACAAATTATCAGAAAAATATTCTAAGACCATCCTGAACTAGCTAGGTTACATAATCTAACAGTCAAATGCCAAAATTAGATATTTCACCACTTATTCCACAAGAAAAAAAAAGGGGGAGTCAGAAGTTTATCCTGTTTAGTGTGACAATTTTTACATTAAATATATAGTGATTCACTGCATTTTTAACCTGCTACCATAGTACATTTAGAATGTTTGCCTTTGATTTTTAAATAAATTCTGTTTGTGTGTGTATGTGTAAAATGCCAATGAAGAATACTGATTTCATTCCATGTAAGCATTAAACAGTATATGTAGGTTACAAGAGATTGTGATGATTGTTCTTAAATTTTAATTACCTTCACTTATTATGCTTGAACTGTCGCCTTCACTATGTTAAGCATCTAGACTAAAAGCCAAAATATAATTATTGCTGCCTCTCTAAAACCAAAAATGTAGTTCTCTATTAACCTGAAATGTAAAGAAAGAATATTCTTTGGTCAAGTCTAGCAATGTCAAGGTCTTCTAGTATAGGAAAGTGTGTATTACTACAAAGAATATGTGATGACTTATGCTGAGTTCTTTTCCCTTCTTTCTGAGCCTTTCTGTTACCTTCACTTCCTTTTTTTTCTTTTTTTAATCTCTGTTTTTTTTTCTTTTTTCTACATATTCATGGGATGCTCACTATAATATAGGTGTTACTCTAGACATTAGGGACACTGAGATGAACAAAGTATGATTTCACTGTACCTAAAGTGTCCCTCTCTAGAAGTGAAATAAATTGCAGCAGTCTCTTGAACACCTGTGTTTCCTGGGAGTCACCTCTCTCAGCACCACATCAGCAAAACGGCAACATTCTCCCACATCTTAAGTAGCAAAATCCAATGACTTTATCACATTTTATCTACAAAGCATCCTCATCCATGGTGGTCTTTATCTTAAAGTAGGTTATTGGCTCAAGGATGGCAATTTCAGAAGGGGTGCCAGGGAGAACCACCATATAACTCCACTGGGGCGTGTTTCATAGCTGTAGACCTCCCACTAAAGTTTACTTAAGTAATGGAGTGGGGGCAGCGTGAGAGAAAGCATTCTAGTCAAGGGTAAAACACAATTCCTGGAAATCCTGCGAATCAGAGCCTAAGACAGCAAACAACATCCGTTAGATTACTAAATACAAACTATTCATTTTAGAGTGTAAAGACTCTGAGACTAGCTAAGGGGACCCGTATTAATAATCACAGCGATTCTGTGATTATTAATAGTGAAGCCAAGGCTTTTATTTCCCCGCAAGAGGTGGATTGGAAGCATTGTTAGCCTGTCTTTTCTACTTGGAAAGACAAAATAGTGTGTAGAGATTCGCGTTGTGAACTTTTAACCAAAAAGCAACCCAGTAACTCAGCAGAAAAACTGAAAGATACCACAGACACTTTGAAAGAAGTGGTGGGCAGCAGCCTACACCACGAGAGAGGCAGAAAAAGCTGTGTCTCCAGAGCATGAAAGGGGGAGAAACGGTCTCCATGATGCACAGTCCCACTAGGGAGCTGGGCAATCCAGGCCACAGGGCAGCACCTTGCCCCTGCACTGCGCTGGTGCTGACTTAGTCAGCTGTGGGAGCTATAAGAAAAGAGGTAGAATCAGGACGTGCTTTACAGGCACTCCCAGACCCCAGCAGGGAGGGAAACAATTCCTGATCCTAACTAATAATGAAATGGTAAAAGTTCCCTTAGCACCCTCTCAAGGGTGCACGATAGGGGTGTGGCTAGCTTCTTCAGTGACCAGTTGCTCAAACCTCTTGTGGAGCACACAGACGGGCAGGTTGTGGGGCTCCAAACCTACCGCAGTGTGTAGGGGTGAAGCTGAAGCCCCAGTGTGTTACAGGATGCTCTTTTAGTTTAGCCGTCCGTAGGTGGCTTGCATTAGTCAGCTCAGTTAGACCTCTGCCTTATCACAAGGACAGAGAGCTTTCTGTGTCCCGGGCTTCTTGTCTTGGTGTACCTGAAGAACCAGATCACACGTGGGCTTGGAGAATGAGTGCAAGGTTTTATCCACTGGAAGTAGCTCTCAGCAGATGGGAAAGCCAAAAGGAAGAGGTTTTCCCCTAGAGCAGGGCTGCTCAATGGCATGGGCTCTCCTCCAACTGCCCAGGCCAAACTCCACGTCATTCCACCAGTCAACAGCCTGCCAGTGTGCCCGCATCTGTCGGTATGCTCCTCTACCGGCATGCTCCTTCAACGTCCAGCCACGGGTTTGTCTGCCTGCTAGAGTCTTGAGGTTTTCATAGGCACAGGATGGGGACGTGGCAGGCCAGAGTGGTCTTGGGAAATGCAACATTTGGGCACCAAGGCAGGAGTGCCTGTCTTCACCTTGGTCCATGGGTGCAGGATGGGGGTGGAGCCCTGGCCAGGGACCACTCCCTTCCCTTCCCAACACTTTCCTTCCCCACTTCTGTATCAATAGGAGAACTCCTGGAAGTCTGGCGGCTAACTCAGGTGGTGGTCACAAGCTGAGAGAAGCTTCCAACTGAGATTTATGATATAATCTTGAGTGGTGACTAACCCCTTGTCCAAAACTAAGGGATGAGCAAAAAGAATGCTGGGTGCCTCTGCTTTGCTGGTAAGCCAGGGGAGGTGTGGCCTGAGAGCTGGCAAATTTTGGTCTCAGTGGAGAAGGCTTGTGGCCTTGGGCAGTTTTGCATTCTGAACACAGGCTGCCTGGAACCCAGCTAGCTGTTGCTAACAGAATACCTCAGATGCGAGATCTTCCTTATTAAATACGTAGAAGCTGTGTGTGGCTCACCCTGGCTTGCTACTCTCTCTTTCCCAGTGCAGAGTCTTTTGTGCTGTGCCTCTCCTTGGAATGTTACCCCAGCAGCCAAAAATCTTCCCCCTGCTCCCCACTGAAATCGCTGCTTGTGCCCACACACGGGGAGACAGAACACACCTTGTCTGAGCCAGCTCCCACCCAACTTTGCCCCTCCACCTGTCCTAGAAATGTAATACAATAGAGAGGTATGTTTGAAAGCTCCAAAACCCCACCCCTTGCCTGAGACACCAGAGACACCAGAGTACCTCCCCCAAGTAACATAAGGCAAGCACAAATCCCACTGCTACCACTGCGGCTGGCACCCTTTTGCAAGCACCACCTCCTGGCTGAAAGCCAATCAGCACAGCCCATTACAGCATTGCAGGCACGATAACACAGAGCTTAGGATGAAGAATATTTCTGTGCAATCTCAGCTGTTACAATTGCCTACATCACCCTGGCTAACCATGGGTTCTTGAACTTGTCTATGTGCCCAGTATGTTACTACTACACTTGAGAAAGCCAGTATACTAAGGTAAAAACAAGAAAATCTTACAGAGTCTACGCCACTTCCCTGTCACCCCCAGAAAAGCTAGTGCTGGTACTCACTGCTGGGAGACTAGAGGACATGTCAGCTTGGTCCAGCTCCAACCAACACTGACTCTTCTGGAGCTGACTGGAGCTGAAGCCACAGCATATCCTGCAAACCTTTTCATAGCCTGAGGCATTAGAGAGCTTCTCTAGTTGGCTGGCAAGAGACAAAGGTGACCAATTCTCCTTAGAAAGAAAAACCAAAATTAATAGTGTATAATCAAAGCCCAAATGACATGTTGCCAGGAGAGTGCTAGAGACTATTGGAGAGTTCACTGGAAGAAGTTACAGTGTGTTCACATGAGCACAAAAGAAAGTAACAAGAAGCTGGCAGAGATCAAACTCTGAGAGGCCTAGTATTCCGTGGAAAGGGTGGGTGGGAGTGCTCTCAGACACTCTAGCCCCTGTGGCAGACTGCTGGGTTCCAAGCTCAAGGAGAGTTTCCTGCACGCACAAGCACAAATACTGGAGTAGGCTATAATTTGGGGCCTCCTTGAGGGCATTACCTGGCTCATACAAGGCTCTTGTCTCTCCCTCCAGAACTGAGCTGTAGCAGCAGGCACTATACTGAATGTATACTCATTGTGAAACTTTGTCCTGCTCAGGGTCCTTCAACCCTTGTATCTTCACATAACTGGATTCCTTCCAGATATTCTCCAGCACCAGCCTGAAGTATGCCAGCCCCACAGGGTGGCTATACACAGAAGGGCGGCAGAATTCACAGTAGCCTGACCCTCAGGGACTGCTACTCACAGGGGAAGGTGGAGTGCAATACATCAAGAGAGCACTCTGTGGGACAAAAGAAACCAACTTAAGGCCTTGAACCCCAGAACACTCTGCTTTGGGGAAGTTTCTTTCAGCAGAAGCACAGGTGCAGTGGTGGATTCAGTGGAGAAATACTGTAGTTCTATCCCAAGAGTCAGGCAGGCCTTGTGGTTGTGAAGGGTCTTGAAAAGGGGGGATTTTTTTTTCCATCACCCATCACTACAGATACAGCTTGGGCTTCTTCCCCTGAAGCCTGGCATGAGTGCATCTGTAGACAACCTTTCTGGAAATCTTCAGGGTGATTGCATTCCTGCAGGAGCAGTGCCCTCCAGGTTCAGGCTTGACTGAGTGGTAGAGCCACAGTCCATCTCAAAATGGAACATCAGTATACCTGAAGACAAAAATAGTTGCCTATTTTATCTTAATAGCTACAACAGTGGGTCAGGAGTGGACAGGGAGGTAGATCTCTTTCCTCTTGGTCTGGAAGAAGAGCTGAGACACCTCCCCTCCCTCCTCCCTGTAAAGACCCCAGTGCACTTCACTGAGAGCTTTGCCAGCTTCCTCTGTCAAAGCTGGGACCTCTTTCCACCATTGGGATATTGTATTTACCCTGCTATAGCCACAGTCTATTTTTACCTATGGACACCTCCTACTGGCTTGAATCCTAAACTGTTCAATTCAATGAATAAAATATTGGGAAAAAGAAATTTTAAAAGTCCAAACTAATGGGGAACAATAATAAGCTTCATGAGACCTCTGCTGTTCTGGCCCCACAGGAGACAGTGAACCTACTCGCACACCCAGAACATTGCTACTACAACCAGTATCTGAGAAAGCAACTGCACAAATATTCTCTATAATCAAGGAACTCACATAGAGTATTTGTCACTGAATGTACTCAGAGTAAAATCTAGGTGATAAATTATAAAAATTAAAGTCATATCATCAAAAGGAAATGTAATTTTTTAAAATCCGGTGTAATAAAAAATAAAGTCAATATTAAAAATAATCTAACAAATGTGAAGGAACCATAAAAATAATTCTGGCAATATGAAAAATAAAATTATATAATGCCCACTAAAAAAAATTACATTAACTCTCCAGCAATGGATGCAAACCCAAATGAAATCTTTGAAATACCAGATAACCAAATGAAAAGGATAATTATTAGGTTATTCAATGAGATACAAGAGAAAGCAGAAAACCAGCATAAAGAAGTTAACAAAACAATTCATAATGTAAAAGAAAATGTTTCTAAAGACATAGATATTTCAAAGAAAAATCAATCAGAATTTCTGGAAGCAAAAGACACATTTAGTAAACTACAAAATGCAGTGGAAAGTTTTAGCATTAAACTAGTCCAAGTAGAAAATGAATTTTAGAGTTTGCAGATAAGTCTAATACCTAATCAGACAAAAATAAAGAAAAAATGAATTAAAAAATTATTTAAGTCTCCAAGAAATATGGGATTATGCAAAATATCCAAATCTAAGAATCACAGGTGTGCCTGTGGGAGAAGAAAAACTGAAAAGTTTGCAAAATCTGCAGGAATAATTAAGGAGAACTTCCCTGGCCATGCTAGAGATTTAGACATCTAAAAACAAGAATCTTAAAGAGCTCCTAGGAGATTAATTATAAAAAGAATATCACCAAGGCATATGGTCATCAAGCTATCTAAAGTCAACATGAAATAAAGAATTTTAATAGCAATGAGACAAAAATATCAGGTAACCCATAAAGGAAAACTTATCAGACTAACAGCAGACTTCTCAGCAGGTACCTTACAAGCCAGAAGAGTTTGGGGTTCTATATTTAGTCTTCTTAAACAGAATGACTAACAGTAAAGGAGTCTGAATTTAGCAAAACTAAGTTTCATAAATGAGGAAAAATAAAGTATTTCCTAGATAAGCAAAAGCTGAGAGAATTTGTCAACACTAGAATAGCCCTACAAGAAATGTTAAAAGAAATCCTAATGTTGAAACATAAGGTCATTACACACCAGTATAGAAACTCTTCAAAGCATAGAACTCACATGCATTATAAAAGAGTAACACAATGAAGAAAAAGAAAAAACAACTAGGCAACAATCAATACTATGCCTAGAACAGTACCTCATATCTCATTAGTTTCAATGTAAATAGTTTCAATGCCCTATTAAAAGAATCAAATTGGCAGAGTGGATTAAAAAAAAACCCATAAACTGTATACCTACTGTCTTCAAGAGACCCACCTAACATGTAAAGATTCTTATAAGTTTAAGGCAAAGTATTGGAAGCAGACGTTCTACACAAATGGAAACCACAAGTGTGCAGAAATAGCTATTCTTATGTCAGATAAAACAGTTTAAAACAATAATAGACAAAAAGACAAAACGCAGACAAAAGGTTATTACATAATAATAAAAGATTCAACAAAACATAACAATTCTAAATATGTATGCACTTCTAACTGTGCAGCTCCCAGAGTAATAAAATAATTGCTACTAGATAAATGGTTGTACTGATTTGTTTTCTCTTACACAACAAAATAAACAGCAATAAAATAATAAATAACACAGTAATAATATGGTGCTTTAACACTCCACTTTCAGCATGAGACAGAAGACTGAGGCAGAAAGTCAACAAAGAAACACTGTACTTAAATTGAATTCTATAACAAAGGGACCTAACAGATATTTACAGAACATTCTATCTAAAAACTGCACAATATGCATTCTCTTCATCAGCACATGGAACATCTTCCATGACAAACCATATGATAAGCCACAAGAAAAGTTTCAATAAATATTTAAACATCCAAATTATATCAAGTGTCTTTTTTTACCACAGTAGAATAAACATAGAAATCAATTCCAAAAAGAACACTCAAACTCATACACAAACATGGAAACTAAACAGTCTGCTGATGAATGATTTGGGGCTTAACAATGAAATCAAGAAAAATTTTTTTTTTAAAAATTCAAAATTACTGATGACACTGAAATAAATTATCAAAACTTCTGTGATGCAGCAGAACTAGTGCTAGGAGGAAAGTTTATAGCACTAAACTCCAACATTAAGAAGTCAGAAAGATCACAAATTGGCAACCTAATAACATACCTTAAGGAGCTAGAGAAACAAGAACAAACCAAATCCAAAGTTAACAGAAAGAAAGAAATAACAAAGATAAGAGCAGTACTAATCAAAATGGAAACAATATAAAAGATTAATGATGCCAGTTAGAATGATGATCATAAAAAACTGGAGACAACAGATGCTGGAGAGCATGTGGAGAAATGGGAATGCTTTTACACTGTTGGAGGGAGTGTAAATTAGTTCAACCATTGTGGAAGACAGTGTGGCGATTCCTCAAGGATCTAGAAGTAGAAATACCATTTGACCCAGCAACCCCTTTACTGGATATATACCCAAAGGATTATAAATCATTCTATTATAAAGACACATGCACACATTTGTTCATTGTGGCAGTGTTTACAATAGCAAAGACTTGGAACTAACCCAAATGCCCATCAATGATAGACTGGATAAAGAAAATGTGGCACATACACACCATGGAATATTATGTATCCATAAAAAACAATGAGTTCATGTCCTTTGCAGGGACATGGATGAATATGGAAACCATCATTCTCAGCAAACTGACACAAGAACATAAAACTAAATACTGCATGTTCTCACTCATAAGTGGGTGTTGAACAATAAGAACACATGGACACAGGGAAGGCAGCATCATACCCTGGGGTCTGTAGGGGAGAGATAGCAGGACATGGGGAGATTGGGAAGGAATAACTTTAGGAGAAATACCTAATGTAGGTGATGAGGTGATGGAGGCAGCAAACCACCATGGCATGTGTA